TTTTTTTTAAGGAGGAGGACAAAGAGTGGAAGCTTTTGTTAATACATCTCTTTTATCTCTATAAACGGGGAATAAAGGTCAAACAAGGATAAAAAAAAAAAAGACCTATTTCATGTTGATTGAATGCATTGTTCAGTTTCCATGCCTCCTATTTATAGCAGACACATTAAGTCTTTGCAGCCTTTTCTAACTTGCTGAGTCTTGGGTTGTTTCGGTTTTGTGGACACTGATATTCTTCAAGTAGAGCGAAGACTTGCGTCTGTTTTAGCCTGCCGCTGTGTCTCGTATACCCTAAGCCTTTCTGAGGTATGTGAATGCTTGAGAGATGATTGCGTTCTCTTTTCTGGAGGTGAGGACGATAGACTGGCTGGGACTCAGCAGTCTCTGAAATCTCTCGTCACTCCAAAGACAGGTGCTGTTTCAGCTGTAAGCACAGCCATTTTCTGCCTGAACCCTCTGATGGGAGTTTGATATAAGATGTGCATAGATTGACTGAGAGCAGCTGTTCGCTGTGTTAGACTGGAGCTCTTCCAGTGACTTTGTGCGCATAACAAGCATAGTCATGCTGAAGTCTCTAGACCGTGCCAAACCCTGAGTGAAGCTGGTGTGGCCACTGGGCTGTGAAGAGATGTCTGCATGTTACAAAACTCAGGAGTTGGCGGGGTCACTTCTAAACTGCTGAGCTATTTTAGGCTAAAACACTCGGAGGCAACTGAGTGAACGCTATCAACACACCAGTGCCAAATCGCCATAGAGATCCACAGGCAGGGCAGCTGTCAGAGGTATACAGCTTCATCGAGGTCAGTCTGCATTAGAAGGCAGCACAAGGGGTCTGACTGCTGTAGTGAACCTCTGTGTTAATGCATAGTCTTTGCAAGTCCAGCCTCAGCTGCATCACTTCAGTGTGTTTGTGTGTTTTTATGACTAAGAATATTGCCTTGTGTTAAACTTGAGTGGAGAAAAGAATTACAGGAAGCTGAGGGGAGTTTTCCGAAATGCGTTAACACTAACACTGCGTTAAGGCAGCTTGTTGTCGTGCAAGAATTCTCGTCAAATGTCATTTTTGTGTTTGCTTTCATGTTTCGACCGAAGTACAGATTTCTTTATTTAGTCCAGCTTTTGGGCCAAATCTGGCTCGGTATATTAACCTAACATTAACTTGACATATTCTGTGCAGGTTGGTGATGTGATGTAAGCTTCTCATTTGGTGGTTGCGGTTAAGAAATGACTACCTGTTGTCAATGTGTGTATGAAGTTGCACCTTTTTAGAGCTGGCCACAGTGGATAATGCTATTATTATTGAGGAAAGCCCCAGACTTTGAAGTGGCTTTAATTTTAGCTTTTTCCCCCCGCAAGATATGCATGTGACTCTGCAGTGAGCTTACATCCCCGGAGACAAACAACTACACCTCTCTCACACACACACACCCTCCGACTTCTGCTGGCGTTTGGTTTTTCTTTAGCCCTTAGGCTGATATAAGCTTTTGTGGAATGCAGTGCTTGATTATTTGGCGAATGGATAAGCAACTTGTTTAGATCACAGGGTTGTTCTTTGCTCGCTGCAAAACACAATTAATGTGGCGGCTTTTGTGACTTTAGGTGGGATTAATTGTGTAATGGTGTTGATTCTTCCATAACATGAGAGGATTTTTTTTTTTTTTTCCATTGCCAACTATGCTGCAAAGCTGCGGCAGGCCAGGGGAAAAAATAAAATAAAATAATACTTGTTTATTAATTTCAGCACCCACTGTTTACATGTTTAGATGAAAGCTATTACCCTTTAATAATTAAAGAAGAAAAGAAGAGCTGCGTGGCTGATCTGACGGGCGCTCTTTAGTGAAGCAGGTAGATGTTTAAAGAACAACATTTCAACATCTCATTTCTTTCTATTTTGCTTCCAGAGTTTCCTGTAATCATTAAGCTGACTTTAGCAGTAGACTCTGAAGGCTTAAAAAAAAAAAAAATTCCTTGCTCATTTACTCATTTTCAGTTCAGTCTTTGTAGCTGACTATTTGTATAGGAAGTGTTTTATTTATTTATTTTAGTATTTATTTATCTTTTTCTAAAGCCACTTAACACAGACCTATGACTCATTCAAGCATATAAAAGGCACCTGACTCAAGGGATGAATCAGTGTTGTGTCTACACACAAAAGTCAATTTAGATACAATTGTTTTGAATTGTATCTAAATTGTATCTTCAGGCACTGTCACAGTTGTTCCCACTTCTTTAGGTGATTCTATGAAAAATGCCAAAGATAACAGTTTTCGAGACATAAAACAGTGTTCACAGTGGAACGGTGCCTGTCAAAAAGCCATTCTTAAGGAAGGGAAGTGGGGAGGTTGAAGTAGTTGGTTAGCCAGCTATACATGAACTGGACTGAAAATGAACTGAACAAAACTGCATCCAATCATTGCACCTTTTTCTCATTTGCCTAGTAAAATCTAAAGAAATGAGGGGTGGCTTAACACATTCTCACAGTTCTGTAATAATTATTGTTATGCAGATATAACCATAGGGAACAACTAAAGCACTCTGTCTTCGCGTAAAACAACGTTTTAAATATATTTTTCAAACAAAATAAAGAAAGAGACAATGTGTTTTCAGCAGGGTCTGAAAACCAGGTGTGGGTGGCGAAGTAGAAACACCTGTAGTAAATAACCTGCAGAGGGAGCTAGAAATAAAAGCAGAAGTTTCATAGCCCAAATGAGAAGATGATAAACGATAACAAGAAAATAATCTGTCCAGTTCATGTCCCTCACAAATCCCCCTGTCATGTTCTTTGCCATCTTTGGTCACCTGTTAAGTTTGTGTCACATGACTTTGTTTCACCCTTTTTAGGTTGAGAAAGAGATTTGTCATGGATATTTTGAGAACAAATACATGGGAAGCACTGTGTGCAAACCTCATGTGACTTTGATGCTTGAAAAACTGGAGAACCACAAAATATTCTTGTATGGTTTGACCGTTTACTGGGTCGACCAATTAAGAAACACTTAATTTATTAATTTATGTTTTTATTTATGTTTAATATTTACAGTTTACAGTTACCTACAGTGCATCTGGAGGGTTTACACAGTTTGTCATTCAATTCTTTTATCATCTAATTACAATGAGAAGTTTTTCTTTATTTTAAAGGAGACAGTTTGTTGTGAAACTTGGAGCTGAGCTCAGGTGAAACCTACCCTTATGAATGGCCCCTCAGATGCTAGATTAGACATGCAGTCGTTGTCCCCAGCAGTTGACGTCTACTGACTTTAGAAATCCCCTCATGTTTCCTCTCCAACTTTCACGAGTTTGACATTTGTGGTTTTGAAGTAAAGGTCTCTGCAACAATTTTTGGGTGGACTGTATTCAGATTTCCTTTACGATTACCTGTAATTGCTTTGGTGATTCCCCTCATGTTTCATTTAAAACATTAATCGGATATTAAACTGACTGGAAAAACAAACAGTATGTACACAGAGTGTACACCTACATTTGTTTTTCCCACCTTGGTTTGTTTATGCACAAAACATTAGTGTTAGTTAGCCGTAATATTGCCACAATTTCAGTGAGATAAAGGATGTGGGTCCAGGCAGATAATGAATATAGGATAGCAATGGTGTCTCAGCACGCAGCTGGACAACAAGTGAGAAAACATCATTAGTAACTTCCATGGTGCTTATTGGCTCATTGCTGGTCACTAATTACCCATAAGCCTTAGCTGTACTTTGTGTTGCCCATTGTAAACATGCTAGCATCCCCCAAACTGTCCCCCCCCCCCCCCCCCCCCAGCTTCATGCTAATATCAGTATGCAAACATGCCAGAAATATATTGGCTAATTTTGTTTTTATTAATTTAACCATTCAGTTTAACATGTTAGGATCATGCACAGTATAAAAGACGAAATTAGCTACTCTTACGTCACCCACTGGTTAGTGAAGTCCCGTTAGGCTTGAGTTGAGCATTTTCGGCATTGCCATCATGAAAATGACAAGAAGATCTATGACAATGACAGCAGGGACATGAGCAGGTTCTGGATAATCCTCCGAGCAACTGAGTCCATAAACCCAAGAGGAAAGTGTTCACTGACATCACAGAGCAAGTGTTTTCCCAGAGACGAAACCAAAAATCTTTTTGGCGAGGTCAGGCGTGTGCAGAGAAAGGGACAGTGGATGTTGAATATGGAGCTTTCAGCGTGAAAGAAAAGAAAGCCAGCAGAAGATTCATTGATGTAGTGGATGGGGTTCATGCAGAGGGTTTGTGTGACGGGAAGATGCTGAGGATGGGGCTAGATGGGGACAGATGATCTGCTGCGGTGAATCCTAAAGGGTTAGCATATTTAAGACACTTCTGCACTGTCTGTGAAAAAGCACAAAAACATAACCTGGAGGCTGGAGCCTGAGGATATATCTACAGTAACTCTTAAATAACACTTCAGCTGCTCAAAAGTATGTTTACCCTTCCTAACTTGCGTCTAATCATTGTTTTCTTTTTTTGGTGCGTGCCAATTATGGGTTATTTGAAATTTTAAGGTCTCTAAAATAAAAAAAGCATAACTAAATTGCAGAAAATCACTGTTTAGTTTTAGCTGAACTGGTCACAGTTAGTGGTAAGCAAATGCAAGTCTATGTCACAAAGGCAAAAAATTGTCAAAACATCCAACTCCCCTCGTTCGGTTTGTTGTAAAGAATGTAAAGAGAGATATCGATCGCCGCATTTCCACTTTCTGTGTGTGTGTGTGCGTGTGCGTGTGCGTGCGCGTGCGCGTGTAGGAGCCTCTGACTCAGTGCTGAATGGGTCCTAGAGTCACATGGCTACATGTCAGCAGGCTGGAGGAGGAAACGTAATCCCGAGGAGGAAGGCTGGCGTTATCAGTCTGTGCATGTTGGTCTGAGAGGGCATTCGGCTCGACGAGACACTCCACATCTCTAACACGCTCTCTCTCCTTCTTTTTTTTTTGTCTTCCTATCTGTCTCCTCTCCCTCTGTTTGTTTTCTCCCTGCACTCTGATCAGCCCCGGGTCTGTATTCACAGCAGAGTTCAGAATTGCACTACAATGTCTGCGGTGGCTTCTCTGCAGTAAAGCACACAAAGGTATGGTACAATCAATAAGCTTTTTTTTTTTTTTCCTGCTTCTTTAACAGTTGCTAGGTTTTCAACTATTTGCATTTGTCACATTTGTATGTATTTTTTTTTACAGATTATTGATTTTGCCATTCATTTTTATTTGGTTTATTAATTCATTATTCATATGGGCTAGTGCTTAAAAGAGTAACCTGATCCGTTATTTGTCAAGTCTAATCCTTCCTGATAATGAAACATTTGAGGTGAGATTAGAGCTGACTCAGGGTTCAACCACAGTGATCTGTAGCCAGCTGTAAACAAATCAAAATATGCTCCACAGATTACACAGTTTGAGGAAGGAGGGAAAGTAAGGGGGTAAGAAAACCAAAAAAACAACAAAAAGCCCTTTAAATGATCTTTAAATGAGCTCTCTTGTTGCTCACTTGTGTTTCAGTAGCACAAACATGTTTTTCCAGTGTTGTAAATCCTAAATTGGTGCCTTCAAAGGACACATTTTAGGACTGGATTGCTTTCTAAGTGATGTGGTTAAATCAGAATTTGACCATTTGTGGCTACATCAAAAAACGATGTGATTTTTCTAAAGTGTTTGTCGCTTCACCCACTTTAGTTCTTTTTTATTTTTTTTGTTCTTTTTTTTTTTTTAAATAAAAGGTTAATAGTATAATAGGTTAGCAACACAGTCGGTGTTTCAGGAAAAAAAAATGGTGTTGTCTGTTCAAACCTGCACTGTCAGCTAAAGGAAAAGCTCTGTTCTTTAATGAAACCTCATACTTCTTCTTTCTTCCCTGTCATTGTCCTGCTTTCATAAATACAGGCCAGTGTATTGGTTGAGGTTTGGACATTGTGATCAAGCTTCTATTTCTGTGCACGGGCATTTTTATTGGCAGTGTGCACATTTTATTGAACTGTTCTTTAATTATGCTTTGTTTTTGATAGAATTTGTAGATGTGCAGGGAGACTGCGGTTGGCGCTCACGTGCCAAGCTGCCAACCGAAGCCGGGCCCGGCCGCGGCGTCTTGACAGAACGTTGGTTTAACGCACATGTGGGCTTTTGTCGTGGGTTTTCTTCTGGCTCATAACCTCCGTCCCGTCGTCTGACTGTCTCGTGTATTTATGAGGGCACGACATAGGATATTTTTAACCTTTTGCTTGCGATTAACACAAACGGTCAAATGACATCAAAGTGGAAGATGCACAGGTGCAGAATAAGCAGTTTGTAGGTCTGTATAAGACATTTTTGCTATTTTTCTGAGATTTTCTTGCGCCAAACCATCAGTACTTGACTCCTAATCCAGCGCTCTGTTTTCTATAACCTGCTGTCTTCAAGGATCCCATTTACCCATAAATGTGTCTGTGATATGCATCAGGTGGTAGGGAACTCTTCCTCACAGAAAAGTTTAAAAACATAGAGGGATTTCCATCAGGAATGGAAATTTACAACATACCACAGAGCCAAAGAGTCAGGTGCATTCATACACTTTGGGAGCGATGAGTCATCACAAAGTACACATCAGAGATCCAAATAAAGAGAAAATGTCAAGCTCTCATCACTCTCCCACTCCGTTATCCTCTTCTTCTGAAAGTGGGATGCAGATCTTTGGAGATTTACAGATTAATCTGATGTGTAATTAAAAGCAAAGGAAGTGTTTGCTTTTGGGATTTATTGCAGTCTCGCGTTAGAAACTATAAAATAACATGTTACACGCTACACCCGCTTGTTTTCTGTAAAAATCTGATTCAAGTCAACACTGGGTGTGACCCCTTTGAAGGTAACCATAGGCAGACATAAGCATTAAGTACTTAATTTGTTTGAGGATCTTGAAGAACTGGCTTAATTTCTATTGTTTTTTTAGGCTGGGGCAGTGACTTCTCTAATAAGTAAGTAATCCCAAATTGACTGGATGATGCTGACATCAGTAGTCTCTGGGGGGGCAGACCATCTGTTGCAGGGATACTTATAATCGTGGTCTTCCATTACATTGCTATATGCTTAGGGACACAGTCAAGCTGCACATGCTGAAGAAAAAGTGTAAATGTTAAATTCTCAAGCGGTAATCTCCTGGTTGGCACAGTGCTTGTATAATAAAAAGTATGAGAGGTAGATCTGGGTGAAAAATGTTAGCTGTGATTGATTTTATTTTTTATTAATCTGTATGCTTAGAATGAAAAACAAATCATCTTTGTACGTCACTTCATAAAAGATTAGGCTAGTGTCTTAATCACAGATGGCATGAAAGATGTCACTCATTGGTGTTGAAAGCTCAACTTTACTGTTTTCTTAAAGTTATCTTATATGGATGAAAGGCTGGAGTGCCATTTATCAGCTGAAGCTAGAGGGCTATATAGCAATCTGCATCTGTAATCTCTATGGGTGCAATGCATAGCTGTCCTCAGTAACAGGCTAATAAAACACTGAACACTTACCAGTCGGGGCACCTGTCAAGCAGAATGACATTTAAATTTAGATGTCAGGTGGAAGTTTTTGTTTTGTTTTTTTTTCGTAAATGCATTAAAATGTTTTTATTACTTATAAATTACATTTAAATGTAAATGTGATTTTATTCATTTTATTTTTGCACCAGGTTATTTTTTTCCCAGCCAAGCTTTAGACGTTGTCCTTTGACCAAGACTTGCTATATTTACACAAAAAAAGGCATTCAAACAAGGCTGAGTCTTTAACAAATACAGATGAAAAGAGTTCAGGCTAAAGCAATTTAGTATTGTTTCTGAGTATGAAGTCTTTGGGCCTACTATAAATCCAGGCTCACCACTACAAGCCCGTCGATACAACTGCAAAGGCTCAGTAACACATAGGCTATTTTCGTTGAACGCAGCACATCAACAAATCCAACTACCATGCAAACCAAACAAGCTCCCAGGTGGCTAGAGCGCTTTTAAAATGAGCAATTCAGAATTTGACTAGTCATTGGAGCTAAGGAGGAGAGGCACCATGCAGGTTATTAGATTCACGTGAAAGGTCGGCATCCATTAAAGTATGGCGGTTAGTTAATGCACGTGGTGTGTTTACCTTGCATATCTGTAAAGGGTCCATTAATGTTATATTTGCATGGTTTGGATTGGTGTATGGTGCCATTCAAACAAGCCTTTTTCAGGGAAGGCCTTCCTCGTTCCAACAAGGTAATGCCAAACCACATTCTGCATGTGTCATCAGTCTCATTGCTGCTTACTGACCTTTCACCAAAATAAAACCTTTGGCACATAATACAAAGGAAGCCTGACTAGCTAATTAGCTAGAGTCCTATATTAAGCAATAACGGGAAAATTGGCTGGTAAAAAGTTTCCTCAGTTACCAAAAGTATTGTTCAAAGAAGAGGTGGTGCCTTAACTTAGCCTTTTATGAAACCTGTTGCTTTAATAGGTTTCAAAGTAAGAGTATACCTTTCAACAAAACAAAAAATTTACAATTTCAACATTTGCTGTGCGTCTTTGACTTCTGTTTAGTTTACACACATGGCACTAAAATTTCAGCTAATTTGGTTGCATTTGAAGCTTTGGACTTGTGTATGTGTGGATCAGACCTATTTTTCAGCTGCTAGAAAGAAATCTGGAAACCACTTGTTCCATTTCTTTCTATAAGTTTACAGCTCCTACTGACAGGCATCTGTCTGTTGCTGTTACCTTCTTCCTGTTTTCATACTTACTTCCTCCCTGAAGGAAAGATTTCCCAAAGCTTTGTGTTTGCACATTTAAAGGCTGTGACTAAGTCTAACACGGAAAAGTTTTCAAGCTTATAAAGAAAAAAAATTCCATCCTCCTCATCTAAGAAACTCTTTACAAAGTACCAGACTCGTGGATGACTCTTGGAAGACCTGATGGATTTCTTCCAGGTGGGAAAAGGAACATGCTGACCTCAGCACTTATCAGTGCCTTTTTCAGTTCCTGCACAAGGGACCCACCAGTTTTCTTTTGTTCAGTCCTCTAAGTGTACCTGATGTCAGACAGAGGACCATGTTGTTTCTTAACCTACCTGCTCGAAAAGGCAACTGCAGTCATTATTGTTTTCCTTTTCTGATCATTATTGTTATCCTAAAGGTATGATTACAGACGTGCCCTTAGGTGGATGAGCTGGTTCCCATAGTTTTCTCCCAGAATCCCAGGGTTTGGTAACTTTATCCCTGTGTAGCCAGCTCTGCCTCCTCCACTGTGGTGGGGTCTAGGTTTACTGAGAAAGTAATTTTCATGCACGCCCAAAGCTCAAACTCAGGCGGACTCTTTTATTACCACTGCCGCACGGATGGGATTATCTCAAACTATGCATGTAATTAACATTTGGTGCAGTGAAGTACTATCTTTGCTAAATCCATGTCCAAACAAAAGTTCAAGTCTGCCTCTTAAATTAAAATTTATATCATTGATTGTACTTCAGAGAAACCTCTATGAAATTGCTCACTGTGAACGAGGTCAGTGATATGATTGCGTTCAGGCACCAAGGAGGCTTATCATTTCTTTGATAGATGCTGTCAGAAAGCCAGCTTTGGCAGAACATGAACCCACAGAGGGCCCTCCTGCTGCTTTAATATTGTTTAAGGACTCTTTGGGTACCTGATATATACAAAAGTAACCAGTTTGCTTAATTTGGCTAAAGTTTCGGTTGATCTTTTTAGCCTGACAATATGGTTACATTTTACAGTAAAATGTAACCCCCCCCCCCCCCCCCCCCCCATTTATTGAGTTCTGTAAGTTAAAGTTTAATTGGGAGAATTTTTTTTTTTTTTTTTTTTTTTTCCCCAGGTGCTTAAGATGGCATCTTCAATTTCTTGCTTTCATCAACAGCCAAGGACATTCAGGGTGCACTCAGAAGAAGTCAGAACCACACCATTTCACAACTTTTGATTTAATAATGAAAAAGAAAATCTAATGAGAGATACAATTAATTTTGTACGTATTGTACCGAAAGCCCCTTCAATAACATTTTACACAATCTCTACCTATGATTACATGTGTACCATACGTGACGGAGACTCTGGAATGACGGAGGTTGGCTGAGGCACGTGCTGCCGCTTATCAAAGGCTCCTCTTCATAGTAGCATTAATGTTATCTGGCTCTTATCTTATCGAGCTGAATTGGTCAACGACCTTGAATGGTAGTTGGGAAGCTCTGCAGGGCTTCAAGGCAAGAATCAAATAAAAAGGAAAAGAAAGATGTAATGTAGTTCTCTGAAGTTGTTGCCTTTTTATGGCTCAAATATAATGTATTACATTTTTCTTCATCATAAAAGTGACCAGTTTAAGTCTGAAGAAACAAAAGGGCCTCCCCACCCCACCCACCCCCCGGGGTTAATTGACTAGGACAGTTCACTGTCTGACCTTGAAAAAAAGTGTAACGCTGACAATTTTCGTTTAAATCTCAAAGATAGCTTCGTCCTTATTCTTTCTAGATTTGTATTTGGTGGCTTTTGCACTCTTGTTCACCTTGAAGTTTTAAATCTGTCATCATGTGATCTAACTCCCTGATCTGCATCTGGCTCCAGGTTATGCTGCCCAAAAGCTGTCTGAGTCCCAGTGAGAAAGAGAAGGGCTAAAGCCACACCAGTCTAAACCAGCTTTCCAGCGCCTCTCCAGCAACGACTCTACTGCAGAGCCATGAGCAACCCCGATGCTCCCAGCCAGGTTACGGACGCTGTGGCTTCGGTTATTCACGGAGTAAGTACGCACGCCCACATGCACAAAAGCTTCAGCCTGCCCTATCAGGTCAGGCTACACCATCACTGGCTGCATGATAAAGGATATGAGATAGTGGCTCTGATTTAAAACCACATTAAACTAAACACATTGGCAGGACTTAGTCTTTCCTTAGTTTGGTCTTTTCCTATCAGTTCTCCTTGTGCTGGATTTATGCTGCATCAGCTTCCTCTGCCCTCTCTGGCATTGGAGTGTGTATTTTGGACAGTGATGTTCCCTCCCGTGCAGATCTAGTAACATCCAGTTCTCTGCCAACATACAGCAGCTCTGACTACAACATAAAAATGTTCAGGAACGCTCAGAGAGCAGCTCCTGTTGAAATTGCCCTCTTATTACAGCACTGGAAAATATCAGCAGGCACACAGTTAAATCTGTTTCCTTCCTCTTTTCTTGAAGTTGACGTTGTTGAAAACAGTGAAAACAATACTGGCACATAATGAGAGTTGATTGCGAGGCTGCTGGTGGAGCACGAGTTGATAAACATGGCTGGCAAAGGCCTGAGGGCAGCTGGTCAGTGGCCAAAGAAAGCAGAATTCCTCCACAGAGGTTCTCAACAAGGTCCTCTCGTGATTATCTTGCTGCAGCAGAAAATAATCACAATCCAGCCGTGAATACTCTCATATTGCTAGAGCTGATCCGTTTATGACTATGGTTTGTAAATTCCAGGCATACATTCAATTTCATACCAGGAAATATCAGGATTGCGGTTTTATTAACTGATTTACTCACCTTTCCCAGGAGCTCTATCTTTCCCAGAATGACAAGCCATATTTTTGATAACTTTACTGTGAATTATATGTGCAGCTAGGTAGAAATGGGAAAACATTTATTTCTGAATAACCAGTCATGAAGGCCACTACTGACTGAGAGTACACGTTCGTCTTCTGCCGTTGTTTTCAGTTTTTCACGGCAGATCCAATCGAGGAAATCCCACCTTGAGCCTAGCTTTGGACTTCATTTCAAATGTTGCAACTACTCGGGAACTAGACAAAGGTTGAATCACCAGGCATACACACTTCGAAGTCGAATCTCACTAGTTAACGCAGAGAATTAGAAGCATTTAGATGAAATTCGATCCACTAAACGCAATTACTGATCTATCTATTGAGATGTCTAATGATAAATACAGATATAGAGAGATAGATATAGATATATATTCCAAGGTGTTCCCAAGCCAGCCTAAGAGATGCAATGTCTACTGTATGTCCTTGGTTTGCCTAGGGGCCTCCTCCCTGCAGGACGTGCTTGTTTCCCCTCACCTAGAATCAGAATCAGAATCAGAATACTTTATTGATCCCTGGGGGAAATTATTTTTTGTTACAGTGCTCCATTTTAAACCAACATTAAGACAAGACAGACAATACGCTAACTAAGAATAGTACAATATATACATATATATACATACATACATACATACATAAGTCACTTATAAATAAATATTTGGAAAAGAAACATGTGTAGTTGTAGCAGCAAACAGTGTGTTAAGTGGATGCGTTGTACAGGGAGATGGCCACAGGCAGGAATGATTTCCTGTGTTGTTCAGTGGTGCTTTTCGGTAATCTCAGTCTCTCACTGAACGAGCTCCTGTGACTGACCAACATGTCATGGAGTGGGTGGGAGGTGTTATCCAACATTGTCTTTATCTTGGACAGCATCCGCCTCTCCGACACCACCTTGAGGGAGTCCAGCTCCATCCCCACAACATTGCTGGCCTTACGGATCAGTTTATTAAGTCTGTTGGCATCTGCGACCCTCAGCCTGCTCCCCCAGCATGCAACAGCATAGAGGATCGCACTGGCCACCACAGACTCATAGAAAATCCTCAGCATTTTCTGGCAGATGTTGAAGGACCTCAGTCGCCTCAAAAAATAGAGACGACTCTGGCCCTTCCTGTAAAGTGCTGTGGTGTTTTTAGCCCAGTCCAGTTTATTGTCAATGTGTACTCCAAGGTATTTATAGTCCTCCACAATGTCAACACTGACCCCTGGATTGAAACAGGGGTCAAGTGTTTCCTGGTCTTCCTGAAGTCCACGATCAGTTCCTTGGTCTTTGCCACGTTGAGCTGCAGATGATTCTGCTCACACCACGTGACAAAGGAGTCGACCACAGCCCGGTACTCTGTCTCATCATCCCTGCTGATGCATCCAACCACCGCAGAGTCATCAGAAAACTTCTGAAGATGGCAGGTCTCTGTGCAGTGGCTGAAGTCTGTGGTGTAGAGGGTGAAGAGGAAGGGGGAGAGGACAGTCCCCTGTGGTGCCCCTGTGTTGCTAATCACCTTGTCAGACACACACTGTGGGAGACGTACATATTGTGGTCTTCCTGTCAGGTAATCAACAATCCAGGACACCAGAGAAGCATCCACCTGCATCGCTGCTAACTTATCACCCAGGAGGGTCGGCCTGATGGTGTTGAAAGCACTGGAAAAGTCAAAAAACATGACCCTCACAGTGCTCGCCGGCTGGTCCAGATGGGTGTAGACACGATTGAGCAGGTAGATGATGGCGTCCTCTGTTCCGAGACGAGGCTGATAAGCGAACTGAAGGGGATCCAGATGTGGTCTTACTATGGGTCGCAGCTGGTCCAGGATGAGCCTTTCCAGGGTCTTCATGATGTGGGAGGTCAGTGCCACGGGCCTGTAATCCTGGGGGCCACTGGGACGAGGCGTCTTTGGTACAGGGACGAGGCATGATGTCTTCCACATCACCGGGACCCTCTGCAGACTCAGACTCAGCATAAACAGTTTATGAAAGACTCCACACAGCTGGGGGACACAGGCCTTGAGGACAAGGGGACTCACTCCGTCTGGTCCAGCAGACTTGCCTGAGTGAAGTCTCCTCATTTGCATCTCAACCTGGTATTGAGTGAAGGTGATGGGTGGGGGAGGGGTGTCAGGAATCTCACAGGAGGCAACATGTGAAGAGAGAGGCTGGCACAGTGGTGTGGCTCTGGATTCCAGGCTGACTGCAGGTGAGGTTGTGGGGGTGGGAGCAGACACTGTGGTGTCGAATCTATTGAAAAACAGATTCAACTCATCGGCTCTATTCTCACCTCCCTCAGCTCCCCTGCTGTTGGTTGGCCTGAATCCAGTGATGGTCTTCATGCCCCTCCACACCTCTCTCATGCTGTTCTGCTGGAGTTTCCACTCCAGCTTCCTCCTGTAATTGTCCTTAGCCTCTCTGATCTTGTCCTTTAGTAACACCTGGACCTTCCTCACCTCCTCTTTGTTGCCCCCTCTGAAAGCCCTCTTCTTGTTGTTGAGGAGGGCTTTGATGTCCTTAGTCACCCACGGCTTGTTTTTTGGGTAACAATGAACAGTCTGAGCTGGAACAATGGAGTCGGTGCAGAAAGTTATGTAGTCTGTGATACACTCAGTAAGCCCATTGATGTCCTCGGCGTGAGGCTCACAGAGTGTTTCCCAGTCGGTCACCTCGAAACAGCCCTGTAGTTCCGCTATTGCCTCCTCTGACCACCTCCTAACAGTCCTGGTGGTCACAGGTTCCCTCCTCACAATTGGCACATAGCGGGGGGTGAGGTGAATCAGGTTATGATCTGACCTACCAAGTGGGGGGAGGGAGGAGGAGCTGTATGCATCCTTGACGTTAGCATACAGTAAGTCTAAAGTTTTCTCTCCCCTGGTGGGACAGTCCACATATTGTTTGAATGTTGGTAGTGTATTGTCCAGTGATACATGGTTGAAGTCACCCGAGATCACAATAAAGGCACTCGGGTGCTGAGTCTGTAGCCGAGCTATGGCAGAGTGGATAGTGTCACATGCAGCTGTGGGGTTAGCAGAGGGGGGAACATAAACAGCCACCAAGATGACGTGAGAGAATTCCCTGGGTAAATAATACGGCCTGAGTCCAACAGCACACAGTTCAGTGTCCGGGCAACAAATCCTTTCTTTGATTGTTATGTTGGCAGGGTTACACCACCGGTTGTTAACTAAAACAGCAAGCCCACCTCCTTTACGCTTACCGCTAGCGATGCTGTCCCTGTCCGCCCGAACAGTGTGGAAGCCTTCCACGGAAGCATTCTCATCGGGAATGACCTGGTGCATCCATGATTCGGTGAAACACATCAGGCTACACTCTCGGTATTCCCTCTGACTCCGTACCAGTGCTGAGAGCTCGTCGATTTTACTTGCCAACGATCGCACATTTCCCATCACGATAGACGGCAGACACGGTTTAAACCTCCTCCTCGCTTCGAGCCTCCGCTGTCTCACCGTCACCTTTTTTCTTCTCTTCTGTCCTTGACCTCTGCATCCCCGATGTGTTTTCCTCCAAATTTCAGCTGGTACTTCTGCGGGCACTTCTGCGGGCCTGGCCAGCGAGCCGGCCGGCATCAGGGCGATCAGCTGATCTCTGGAGTAAACAGTCCGTGCGTGTAGGAGATGTGCCGCGGTCCCGTTCCATGATAAAAGTAACAGTTCCACGGCCACCAGAAGAACAAAAACTCTCTCAATCCACATGATTGAGTAAGAGATAGAAAACGGAGGAAAATACAAGTCAGAAAAAAAAAGAATACGTAAGAAAAAAGAGCTAAACTAAGAGAAAAGCAGGAGCGACTGTAACAGGCTGCACGCTGGTTGGCGCATGCGCACTTCAAGGAGGTGTCCAGTCACCACAGCTGGCTCCATTCGATGTGGAGGAGTAGCAGCTCTACTCTGAGCTCCTCCTGAATGACTGAGTCTCTAAGGGCCCAGACAGCCCTTAGAGGAAGATCATTTCCGCTGCTTGTTTCTGCAGCCTCATTCTTTTAATCATTCCCCTCAGCTCGAGGCAATAGGTGAGGGTAGGAACGTACATCAAAACACAAAAGTAAAGCTGTCGATTTATCGGTAAAAATCGGCAGTTTCACTTTTACACTCGGCTCTCTCCACCCCAACAGACTGATTCAGCAACCACATCACTGCAGATGCTGCACTAATCTGTTAGTCTCCTGCTTGCACATTAACA